ATTTTTGTGTGATTTTGTGGGGATTTGTGTTTTTTGTATTTTTTTTCTCGACATTGGTTGTTTGTCATTCGACTTGTGTTCCTTTGTTTTATTTATTTCAAATATTCAATCAATATTATTGACATCATGGGGAATATACGTAGAAATCGAATTCACATTTACGTAGAAATTAATTTATTGCCTAAAACATTACAAACGAAAAACATTTATAAACGAATTCCTAGCCGTTGCTCTGACTTGTTAACATAATCCCACGATTTTGAGGAGAATCAAAAGATTAGGCATGTTTTATTTGATCTTACACTTAGTGAATGATGAAAGGATTGACATTTATTTTCAAGAGTGCATTATTTCAGAGATATTCGGGTGGAAAACATGTCTATTTTATAACATACTATAATCCTGCTTTGTACAAGAACGAGATTTTCAACGGATTGATCACAAAAGGAGACAATTTATCTCACCCGGTTAAAATATTTTCTTTACATTCCAGCCAGTCTTTACTCTTATTTCTACTCACTGTTTGCTAAGCGCGAGAGTTTCAAATAACATTTTTTACGTATCTTATTTCACCATGCCGGCGATCGAACCATGAACTCCTGCACTAGTGATAGTCATGTTTTAAGGGGCTTTCGAAGTTGATACTTTATATGTATAATGGCCAGTAATTAATGTAAAATAACTCCGCTAAAAGAATGTGTGAAAAAAAGATTTGCCAATTTATTATTAAAAAGGGAAGGAAAGATTCATTAACTAACACATTCTTCTCTTCATTACAGATTGTTTAAATAAATTTACGTTCAATATCTGTGTTGCTACAATTTGATTATAATTCAGGAAGTTTTTACATACTGTTTCGATCATTATCACGCTAAACAAAAAAGATACATGATAAGCCTTTGTTCTTTAACAGGAACGCACATTTTTTGCTTTTTTTATTAAAGAAGGTTCATTTTTTTTCTAGAAAAACACACGTGAAAGCTTATTAATACTTTCGTTAAGCTGAATGACTGACAAGGTTTGCAAGTTGTATATAAGAGTTAGATAATTATTTATTTATAACTTCTCAGATAGAAATTTAACATCAAATATATAACAAAGTTACTGATGAAAAGGTTAATGAGCGTTATATATAGTCTACGCACACATTTCTATTGCAGTTCTACCAAAACTGTTTAGCTATTTTTCCTAATGATTTTGAAGACTTTTTTGAAATACATAGAGAGATAACAAATATTCTTACTTAAAACAAAATAAAAATACGCGTGATCACCGATAAAACTTTTATCGTATATATAATTGGGAAATTTATCTTCTATAGTTGTAAAATATCTATTAGCAGAAGAATTCCCAAAAAAATAAAGATACAACTACAGCAGAATTAAATTAGTAAAATTATACATGTGCATTATTCGATTAGTTAATAGCAGTTAGCTAACTGTTTTGGGTTTTTTTTGGTTCACGCAGGGAAAACACATGGAGTTGCATCTGCAATGGGATAGTATACATCTCCTTAGATAAAGCTTGTTGAAAATGAGTCAAATAGAAGTGTTCATGTAAATAACATTCCAAGAAACCTCTTTATATATTACATATTTCTATTCTATCAGGAATAAAAACTTCACAATTACTGTGATTCTGCCCACTTTTGGTTAGGGTGTGGATCCTAAAAAACTATTATATATACTATAAAGAATAACTTATCAAAGTCCCTCTCCTCGTACTACGATAAAAAAACATTTGACTGTTCAACCTTGACACAATTATTCATCGTAAAATATTACAGGTTAACTAAAAAGTAAGTCCAGCTTATACAAGTATCCATATGCCTTTATGCACATAAAACAGCCGAAAAGTTTAGATGATTTTACTGCGTTTTCTAGAAAATCTCTCCCGTGAATTTTCTGTACAACTGATATGTTATTGCTGTTTCGAAATGTCTTTTTTGCGCAATATTTGTCATTTCTTTTTAATGTATATATGTCATTCAAGTTGTGTAAGTTTATTCAGTCACAAAATTGAGCTATCTACGTTTTTTAATACTGTTCATAGAACTCAATTATCTATACTAAAAACGAATTCGGTTTTTGGTTGGGTTAGTGTTGCTCAATCTCTAGTTTTCTATGTTGTGTTTTGTGTACTGTTGTTTGTATTTTGGTCTTTTTCTTTATTTGCCATGGCGTTGTCAGTTTATTTTCGACTTGTGAGTTTGAGTGTCCCTTGGGTATCTTTCGCCTCTCTTTCGATGACCAAAGTATTTTTTTTCACCATAAATCGGAAATTTCAATGGCTATAGCATATGATATTTAGAGAAAATTCATAAGAAAGAATTTCGAGAAATGAAATTTGCATAGGTATTTACTTGCATCCATTAAATTCATACTAATTTTTCGGATTATCTTATTTACTTTATCTCTTGGAGTATAAAAGTTACATGGAATGAAATGTCTTATTCAAGTACACTTGTTCGATTTGCCTGTAAATTTGAGTGAAAAATCAAGAGCCCGCGCATCTATTACTGTACTATAATCATCATGGAGTGTGGCTCCTGCTTCAGTAGTCAGAAGGTAAATACTATTAAGCTTAAAAATAATAATAAGTGCTCTGATCAGAATTGATATCAATAATCCGCGATGTGTTTCGTGCAAAATTTTGAAGTTTCCACCTGTTTTCTTTTACTAAAATGAGTTATTGTTGTATTACTTAAACGGTTTACCTGTTGCTTATATCTTCCACTTCAAATACAAAACCATATTGACATTTTGCTTTTAAGCTTTTCTGTAAATTCTTTTTTTTTCAACTATTTAATTCCTATCTATATTGAATGTTTGTTTTCAAAACATTTGAATACTATGTAAGTATATCAAATTAACGTTTTGGCAGCGGTTTCCACTTTGGCACGTGCGTTTAAGAGATTTTTTGCCAAATAATTGTTTACAATTTTAACATTGGAAGGCAAGTTTCCAGTACTTTGAAGGCATGCCACAGTGCAAGGGGCTGCTATTATCACTTATTAGTGTAATATTATTATACATTCCGTTCTGAATGAAATACCTTGATTGTTTGGTACGCTGATTAAATTTATTTTCTAGTTCAAATAGGTTAAGCTCTTCAGCAAAATAACAACTTAACTGCTTGTATTTCATCTGTTCTCATCCAAATGAAAAGAATTTCTTTTAACAAAAGTCTGTTAAACTGCATTTATAAATAATTAATTAGTAGACAGTAATTGTTTTAAAGATGATTTCACCTGTTAAATCTGCTGATTTCTGACATTATCGAAATAAATCAAAAGAAATACCAATATGCACTCTATTTCATGCTTTATTGAAACATTAATTCTTGAAATAGGAAATTTCAAAAGCATGTTTCCGTTTTGGTGCATAATGTTACCTGCTGAAGTTTTGAAATTAATATTTTGTGTTTTTCATGTATCACAACTGTAATGCCAGTTCTTCCTTTATTGTACTATTTTTCTCTCGTTCCGCTGTTGATTAATTATTTAGTCAGTAGTTGTGAAGAAGACTTTACTATCAGCCTATATATGACCAATAGTAGTAGTAATGGTAACTAGTTGGAGATCGCTGTCTCGCTAACGTGTCCGTCAAAGTTTTTTTATCTGAAAAAATAAAAGAGTTATGAATTATACAAAATTTTGACAACAATTTCATTATTTTTGTCCAGTATTTGTTTCACGTATAAATTCAAAATATTTTATAATACCGTTCGACCAAAATGGTGACGTTACATCAGTTGCCTGGTGTAGGAAGAGCGGCAAGTTCTCTGCACGTTAAGGAACACTGACGACACCTGACGAGGGAACCGTAGGTGGCCTGTTGTATTGCTTATTTTTTTTTTGCTTCTATGTAACATACCCTTCTTTTGCAGTGTAGGTCAAAATTTTCCGTCTTTCACCTGCTTAAAGTACCTTACAGAACCAATTTGTTCATTCCTGTATATGCACACGCTAAAAAAGCAACAATCAATCAATCAACTAACGTAATGAAACGTAGCGGAATATCAAACAAGTTAAAACAATTAAAAACATTTCAAAACATTTTCCCTAATAGCAAGACAAAACAACACTGTTATTTAGCCAATCACTTTGCTGTTAAGGACAATTTTTATACAGTGTTGCTAAATATTTTGGTACGATTTGCATTGAAAAAAATCCGGAACAAAACTTACTATCAATGCAAGGCTAAGGAAAAAAGGTAATGCGGAGTATACAACAACTCTGGATTTGTTGTACACTGTCTAAATAAATGATTTTTGGATAAATACTCAAAATGCGTTTTTCGAAATATTAAGGATTTTCTACCCAATGAATAGATTACCTAAGCTGTATTTGGCTAAATCTTTGGGAATTTTGGGTCCTCACTGCTCTTCAACTTCGTTCTTAATTTGTTCTTAATAACTTTTTTGATTCGAGCATCACTAATGAGTATTTTGTAGACGAAACGCGCGTTTGGTGTACAAAATATTTATTCTGGTAGCTATGATGAGTGTAATTCCACAAAATCTACAGTTTTAAAGCACCTATAAGCATTTATATAATTTGATAATGTTACGAAATATAGATATAATACTTTTAAAATCACCCTGAAATAAGAACAGGAAACTGATTCAACCTTTCTAATCTGAATCTCTCTTTAAATCACATTCATCTCTTTTTATTGTCATCATAATTAAAAGCAGTAGAACAAGCTTTTTGTCGATGAAAGAAAGTCGATATCACACTATTAAAAAAAAGGGGGGGGGGGTGTAAACGAGGCGAACAAGTATTCCAAATGTTGATTTTTCCTAGAAATTATCATGCTATAAATGCATTCTGTATGTTCAAGACTGATTGAATCTGTTCAGTATTGATATTGTACTCCTCCTTAAACACTGGTCAAGACTTTCGCATCTTGCTTAGGTTCTGGAAACTAATTTGATCTATAATAACCATAGATTTATCGACAAATGAACATCGGTATTACTTCAGGGTAAACTTTATTTCATATACGATGATACATATCAACAAATAAACGCTAGACATACAATATGTGAATATGATATTGGAACATTTGTGATTAAACACGACATTGTTGTCAATATTGTTGTAGTAAGATACATTGGATTAAATGAGTAGATGTGTTTGTGTGAACAGAGATACCGTCACACCAATATGTCACACTGTCAATCAGTGTTTTACTGCAGTTAATACATATACATGCATATTTGTGGTGCATTCCACAGGTGAGTGGACATGATCGATGTTGCTATGCATTTCTGGTATTTGCCGACTACTTTAGACAGATAGGGAGTCTGAAATGAACAAATGGAGACAAACATTAATTACTATGCAAATGTATTGGCGGTATTGACTTTTAGCGATCTTTGAGAGAATTGAAATGCGATTTGAGTCAGCTTACCCCATTATGAATGTAATGATACAGTGAAGGTCGAAGTAACATAAACGCAACAGGATACAATTTAATCAAAATCACGCACTCATTATCTTAAAATTAACCATTTGAAGAGAAGTTCACATGTATTTAAAGTCTTAGTGACTTCATGCTGTAAAATTTAAATACATACATCTAGGTATAAATTCTGTCGAGTCGCTCCTGGCTATGTAGTAAAAGTCATTGGCGGTATCGACATTTTATTTGATGGTTTAAGCAGTATAATGGACCTAAACATAGAAGGATGAAATATTGAGCGGAATTATTAATTTTCAATGCATTTGTTGGATAACAGTGTTCATTCATAAAATGTCGATATCAGAAGCAGACGATTGTAGTCATGACGAGGCCGCAAAACTTGTTTTAGAAAATTCAAATAGTGATGGAAAAACTAATCGTAAAAAGATTAAGGAACGAAAATCCGTTCGAATAAGTGACGATGAAATAACGTTTTACCCCTCCGATAGTGGATACATTACAAGTAAAGGGGAAAATACAAATTTGTTAGACGATTGGTCTGAGGAGGGATGCACAAATATATTAACAGTTGAGGAATGGACAGAGGAAGTGTTGGGGACTGACAATGTTCTCAAGGATATTACTATTCCTAGGTGAGTCTTCACTCAATTTATAGAATCACCAAAACATAATGTTGCACTTGGCTATAAGGTAAAAGGGAAAATGTCGGCTTTATATATGTTTATGTATAGGAAAAACTGCCATCCTCAAACCCTTCGAATTTTCATTGAAAAATTCTAAAAATAATTTACATTTAAAAATTATCATGAATAGCATTTTTTGTCGAAAATACTTGATTTTAAATGTCCTATACCGTTTATATAGAGCTATGTTTATGAATACCTGTTTCACCTGTAGGTTTGTTGACATAGAACTTATAACATAAACCAATGTGGTATTACTTTATGACTAAATCAAACAACTAGCTTCCGGCAAAACAAAACATAAAAGTTGGCAATAAAGTATAAAACAAATGCATATATAACTTCTAAAATGCCCCATTTTCAGTGGATCTTGAATTCTTAAAAGCACACCTAATAATATATTGAACTGTCATGAACTAACATTGACTTGATTATATTTCATTTGATAACTATTTGTTATTGAAAACGGACACCGTATACAAACGACGAAACAAGTCATACATAAATATATCATTTGGTAAAATCTTTAAACTTCAATTGAAATAAATATAGATTTTATTATTTGATTGAATTGTTAATTTTAAAATTCATTTTCAACGTGTAATGCATCAATAAACGAGAGGTGAGGCATTAAGTTATATGTATCCGCCCAGGGCTGTATATATATATTTCTGTAATGAGTGTACACATATGTAATCTTCTGCATTTCTATATTAGTCACTTCAACTCTTCCTTGGTGAAAATAAAATCTACTAACCAAATAGGTATTAGGTTATGATGAATAATAAAAATGTTTGTATTAACGAGTCTCATTGGTATAATTAACGTTACTAATATTACGTAATTATATAAAGTGCTGTGCATGCATAAATCATGTTTTTTAAACAATTCTATTGACGTAGATATTTCAAAAATGAAACACATTAAATTGAAATTTCGAATATTATATTGAGGAAGACATCAATAAACATGGAATTAATAAACTGTCAGTAAACATGACCTGTTGTCTCGCGAACATATACCTCACACAATTTCAACATGTTCTTTATAGAGAACTGTTTTATATAAGAATCCATCAGACATAATAATTGATTTTCTTCAGAAGATAATATCAAGGCTGACAATATTTTGCAGTCGTTTTCAAATAAATGTCATCTATCAATCTTCAATCTTTCGTTGAAGCAATTTCTTCTCCGACATTTGTTAACTTTGTATAATGCTTACAGCAAACTGGTTTGGGGACTATTCAAATATATTTTCACAAACCTTACAGAGAAGTTTCGAATGGAAGTCAATATCAAATTATAGCCAGTGATTTGTTATTTCTTACATCACAACTCTGCATGCTGTAGAACTGCTTCCATTAAAACAAACTGTGTAGTTGGATGTCGAACTGTGTATAAGTGTTGACTACCTTGTCTTCTAGTGTTTTGTCAAATGGCAATCAAATAACTTCTCATTGTTTTATACAGGCATCGGATACCATTGATAGTTTTTGTGTTCATATATGCAACACGCTATTCCTTTATAACTTGACAGTGTATAAGCTATTTAAGTGTATCCACAAAACAATTTTAATGAATGTATTTTTAATTCAACATAATCATGTCTAGACTATGAAATACCAAGAGAGAACAAAGCAGTATTCTGGTCAATCAGATACAAGAATAAATAGATGTACAGTGCATTGTTTGTTAATGTTATCTAAATTGGCCTGTATGCTGTGGATAAGAATGTTTATATCTCAGAAAACAAGTTACAGATATCAGATTCCATATACTTAGTCTGAAGTCTTCGGCTGATATAAAATAATATTATAGTAACTTTAAAAACAATACTAAAGAATTTAACAGCACAGTAAAGTGATAAGTTTTGAAGGTTCTGGGTTCTAATCATAGATTGGTCAGCCGTTATCATGCTCATTATATATATATATATATAATGCTGTTATGTCTTTCATGCAAGGTGACTTGTTTTAAAGGGTATCAATTTTTTAACTATGATATTGTCTTATGTGTATTTTATTTCATTGTACATTATTCATTTTATATGCTCTTAGACGCATTTGTGGGTACCCTGCCTGCAAGTGCCCCCGTTGTAAAGGGGTAGTTTCTTAATAAATATATATATATATATATATATAGGACTCGGAGATGCGATGGGGACGCTGAAGTGCGATGGTCACACTGAAGTGCGATGGTCTTCGCCGAAGTGCGATGGTTCTTTCGCTGATGTGCGATGGTCTATGTGGCGCGTGAAGGCTAGTCAAATATTTGCAAATATTATGAGAAGCGGATTTTGTAATTAGTCGGTGTGTGAATTTGCATTTATTATTGCCTATAACACATTTATGGCATTTCGATATCGATGATATGTATGTGTATGGTTGAAATAAGATAATCGGTAAAAGAATTACCATCCCACAATAAACCTTTTTACCATATAAATAAGGATTATGTGATTATTTTATACTGTTTGAATAGTAGATGTAAGTTACCTCGGTAATATTATAGTTTCATCAGTACCTTAAATGTACATCTCTTTAAACGGTGTTTGCAATATCTGTAATACAAGAATATATTTCATATAATGTATATGTCATTACTTGCAGAATCATACTAAAAGAGAGATCGTCCTATTTAATTTTGCTGGAAACTCTCGACTATTTATCGAAAAACTTAAAAATTAAGCTGCTTCTAACAGACAAATCGACTTCTACATCGATATGTGAGCATAACAATCTTTGAAAATAAGGTTTATGTAATGCATCGCACTTCAGCGTAACCACAAAGGCACTTCAGCGTAGCTATCAACAAGATAGCATCACAATGCCACCATCGCACTTCGGCGTGATCAAAAACGCATTTCAGTGTCCAACCATCGCACTTCAGCGTGACCATCGCGGTTCGGAGTACCATCGCGGATCAGAGTCCTACATGTATATATTATAAACACCAGTATTCATCCGTTCTTCTATGTTATGAACGTTGAACGTCAGTTTGGTTTTTATGAAGTTGGAGCTACCGTACACTGACAAAAGAAATATTTTAGACAATTTTGGTTGTTGTTCTTTTTACAATATGGACAATGTTTTATAGGGTAGCTGCCGTAACGACAGTTGAACCTTCTATATGTACTGATATATGGGTTTAAAGACTAGAACTACCAAGGAAATCTGTTTATCAGTCATCTCACTGTCTATATCACTCTGCTCAGTCATTAATAAAATTGCATATCACGGCTTTGTGACGTCATATACGTTGACCCGGCCTTTTGAATAACTTTGACCCGGACATATCAACGACGTCATAATTTATGAACCGACGTTAATAAGTTTGACCCGAACTTATCAAGACATCTTCCGGTTTGCTGGTGAAACAAAGAAAATACTTATTTCTCTTTTGCAAAATACGCAATTACAACCCGATAAATCGATTATCTTGTTATCTGCATATTGATATTGTAAAGTATCAGTGCTTGACACAATATGAAGCCTTTTTGAACTCGTTCGCTGTGCTCACTCGACAAAAAGCTTCAGTGATATTGTGACTCGCAGCTGATATTTTACGATATCAGTATGCAGACAACCTGATAATCGGTACTTATAAACGACTTGACAGTGTGAACGAACATGTATGACTATATTTACTTAATACTAAATTCAGAAACACTGTAGAAAAAAACATCGTTTTTTTCATCAGAACAGATGTATTTAAGAAGGACGATCAACACTTGATGAAAATGAACTTCTTAATTAATATGTATGTAAAAATAGAGGTGCTCAACACTTCGCCAAAAAATAAGGCTGCTTTTCTCTGTGGAAAAATACGGGAAAAATACTTCTATAAGAGGTTACAGGGAAAATGTATCTGTCGACATTGAAAGACAAATGCACCTTTTATTTAAACCATCATGTCACGATTATTGTTTTCAATTTTAAAATATTCGTAAAAAAAATGATTAGTAGAGTAAACATTTAAACGGTTATGTCAATATTTTTATAATTAAATTAATATTAATGTATTAAATTGATTATTTTGGGGGTTAAAACCTCGGTGACTGTTGATAGGTGTTACGTTGTACAAATAATGGTGGATAGAAACAGCTTACAGCTCTATATGAAGTTAAAACACTCGCCTATAGATTTGTAATGATGTTTTGGAAGAGAGAGTTTATCATATATTAATGCAGTGTTTAGTCACAAATAAAATGCACTTGCATATGTATATGCAGTCTTGGCAAAACATTACAATAATTGTCTTAGTTGTTTCAAAGTTGACTCGAATTACAAGTTGTTTGTTTCCTTTCTTTGTCCCTTTCTTCTATCATATTATCCTTCATTGCACATATGTAGCATTAGCGACACCAAACACATATGTCTGCTCTAACCAAAACTTAAAAGGTGAATGGCCAAGTATATTTTATTTTATTTTTTTATCTAGAGGTACCTTAAGTGTGCAACTTCATTGTTTTTCTTTCTGTCATAATATTTATCGAATTTGTTAAAAGTAGTCCATCTGAATTATTTGCCCTTTTCATACATAATTTCATGTGCCTCTTGGTTGTCTCAATGTATCGTTTCTGTATTTTATAATATTTTTTTTTCGATTTTTTTGTCCGTTATTATATCACCCCGCATATCGTCGCTTGGCTTCCAAAATGTCGTATAAGATTATTTTTTTTGCTAAAACTACTTTTTCACAGAAACTGGCTTGGCGGGAGGAAATCTTTAAATATCATACACTTAGACCAATCAAAACATTTGAAATAAGACATGTTACAAAATTGCCAATTTCAATTGTTTGTAAAGTTTGCTTCCAAAATGTGGTATGTAAACTTGAAAATTGTTGTATAATGTCTTTGGGAATCAAAACCTTTTACATATTTTTCTTTGTGTGAAAAAAGGTTAGTTTTTGTGTTATCCAGAAATGTCAAAGTTTTTGTTTCAC